TTACATGTGATGTGGATGAATTACATGTGATGTGGACAAATATTACATGTGGAGAGGCGAGGGTACAGTGGGAGGTGTGTGAGGAGTGTGAAAAGATGTGAAAACGGCTGTGAAGAAGGGTGAGGAGATGTGAAAAGTAGTTAAGGACTTTGCATGCGTTTGTGGACTTGTAGCCTGTGAGGTTACGAAAAGATGCATCCTAGCATCTTAGGATGCATCTGCTTGCTTATCTTCGGATCCGCTGCGAGGATATGTCTTATGTTATCCTCGGGTCGGGGCCGAGCTTCAAGTGTACACGAGGTGGGTCTCCTCTAGAAAATGCTACATCGAACAAAAACAATCCGAAGTCAGAAGGAGCTTTGAATATAGCTCACCTATTTCAGTGCACTCACCTTGACTGCACTGACGGATTCAGAGTGGTAGAATGTTTTGCGCGCCAAAACGATACCACAACATCCAACACAGAGTTGATCGTTGTGGGTCCGACATCTTGACATGACCATTTTACTTTGGGCTTGAGATTCGCCACCGTCGCGAGCCCCCTCATGTGATCGATTGGTCTCGTCAGCTTCCCGTAGGCCATCAAGATCATTGAACTCTGCGGTGTCAGCATTGAGATGCACGGTGGGATCCGAGGGTAAATTGGAGCCGGGACGATTTAGAATGGCGGTGATGGAAAAATTTGACTTGACTTGTTCGGTGAATTTGGCCCACACTTCAATGTGAGCAGCGTCACCACAAGTCTTCGAGTCGGTCAGAGCATCTCGTCTGCAAGGCTGCACATGGCAACGATTGCCCAAAAGTTCTAAGTGATACGGACAAACGCGATTGTTGATATTTTCCAGGCGATGAGTGCAAGGTCCTTTGGGGAGCGGTTGACCTGAAGCCGTAGCCAGCTCTGCGAGCTGTTCCGGGGACGCACTGCAACGCCAGTGCCCGATGGTCAGTCCATCGGTGACCACCGCTCGTATCCCTGGATGGAGGCAACATGGTGTCAATCAAACGTGGGCAGCAAACAAAGTACATCATGAATGTCCGTACCAATCCAAATTTCTTCACCTGTCTCAGGATTGACTGTTGACTTCACACGGACACAGCTACTGCAGTAGTGGTCTCGGAACCGAGTACCTTCAATATCGAGTCGGTCCAGGTGGGCGGCAATCGCCGGGTCGAACCGTGCGTCATCAGTTCCACTCGCGGGCACAGAAAGTTGTGTGTTTCGGCGGTCTTCATGGGTGAGCAGAGCACGTATTTCCAGGGCGTCTAGGCACACTGCCTCTGACATGGACGGGGAAAACCCCTGTGCAGATCCAAACTGGGGGACATCCGAGTCTTCGACATGAAGCTCGTTGTACCAGTTGGTCAAGTTAAAGTGGGAGACGCTAGTAAGGGATGTGCAGTGGTTAAGAAAGACACGTTTAGCAAATGATTACAAAAACACGTGCAGTTTGAAATAAACTAGATACATACTGCGCAAGCATTTGAATCACACGGAACTGGTGACACAGCCGGTTTGTGATGTAGTAGTGACAGTGGACGTGAAGGATTTCAACGTCGCGCCCCATGTCCAATGTGTAATAATGTCAAAAACCAGCGTTGGTGTAGTAACTGGGTTGATAGGTTGCGCCACAGCCTGGATATTGTTTGTTGCGTCAGCGTTGGAGATTTTCAATTGACGATATTGAAAAGAAGACAAACGATTACGCTTTACTAACCTGGGCAATCTAAGATGACAGTCTGGACAGAGTGGACACCATCTGTGTTGTAAAGATACCCATCGAGGCGGCTATGGACATGTAAATTGTGTGCTTTTGGGCATATCACACATTGAGAGACCGGCGCGCGTAAAAAACGTTCGGGGATCTTAGTTGTCAAGTTAGATTGGAGTCCAAAGGCGCGGATGGATCCAATGGGGTCGAACGGTGTTGATGCTAACCACGGAAATGATAAACTCCATAAATCGTTCATCAGTGCGTGGGGGAAGTGGGGCGAAAGCGCAGTGGTGAGGAAAGGCAAGATTGTTGGCCCCCGTTTTGGTGTGAGACACAAGGAAACACCGGCACTACGTTGGACCTCGGAGGCTAGGGAGAAGAATCGAACAAAGTCGGTGATAGTAAGTGTTTGACTGAGTTGAGGACTGGTGACGGCAATGTGCGCTACAAAGTCGTGTACCAGCATGGTTGGCAGGTATGGGTCGAGTTGAAGAGAAGTACAAGAACAAGGTAATGATTCACTGATGTCGAGGGGATGATCACACGGATGAAGGGCGAGTTGTGTCACACACCTGTCCAAGGACATGTTGGCAGCCATATCACGGATGGCGAAGCCCTTAGCGTATGTGCAAAACTCATAAGGCATAATTGATGTTATTGGTATGTGGTCAGTTTTACATACACAGACGAGACTGATAGACCCATAAAGTTATGCGTTATGACAGGTGGTTCCCAGAGTCCCAGATTCCCAGAGGGTCCCAGGCGCGCCCCCCGGATCCTCTAGTTTACCGTCTGAACTCCTGAGCGAGTAGACGACCTTTCTACAATTGTCGCGATAATTTGCTCCTGTTGCATATAGTCGGCATGCCTCCGTGTGGAGAGGTCAGCGCAGGTGGTCATACCATCTTGTGAAGCGCACCTATAAACATGTTTATCAGGCGAATTCGCCCCAAGCCAGGATAGCAGAGCTCAAAGAAATGCTCTTACATACAAAGCTATTTCAATCAGCTTCAATCCCATGTCTTTCTTTCTTCACTCGTGGCGTGTTGGACAAGGACGTGGGGAATGGCAAGGGAATGGTATGCTATGGTGTCATGTCACTAAGTCTAAACTGTCTAAACCTGCTGTTGATTCTGAACTGAAATACTTAAGTCCCTCCTCATTTCGCAGGCGTCCTCGGAGCCTTAGGAAGGGCCTAGTTAAGTTATGGGTTGATTGAAATCTTTTGGTCTTGAACGTTTTATGTTGCACAGCCTCGAAGCCGGCAGCCAAGGGAATTTGGAATGATCGCAGTTTCAACGTGAGAATGCTTTGGTCGATGCAAGTTCCATGGAAAACACTTTTGATTTGAATGGAGAACTTGAGTTGTCATGGGTTATTAGTGAATCTATATTTAAGTGTGTAGTCAAGGCTGGCTCAGGCAGAATTCAATTCCTCCAAATTCCCTAAACTGAACTTTTTTCATAGTCACAAGTGACAACCTGATCGTTGCCATCGCTGGATTGCTTCACTACCAAGGACCCGTCCTTCTCCGGCGTAACTTATTAAAATCGTCATAAAATTGTTTTAGCGTTGTGTAGGACTAGACCCATCAGCTTCGTTCAATAAAACCTCTGATCAAGTTCTCCCCGCCCTTTCGTACTCAGAAGCTAGACTTGATCTCATCTCCAGTTTTTCCGAATCTTCAATCAGCAATTTTCTATTCCTTCCGTTTTTGTTCGAATCTTTTTCAGTCCACCTTTTCATTCTTAACCGAGAATTCCCTTCACCTATCAGTGTATCGCCATACCTTTTCGCATACTAACCCTTTCAACATATTCAGCAAGATGGCTAAAGCCCACGGCTTACTCAGCCTACTTACCCTGGCTTCTCTCGGTAGGTTTTCAGTCACCTTCATTCCGTACATGAGTCAAACCTCACATTGATTGAGCTATTGGATTGTGTCTTTGTTTTATGTTTAGCTGCTTTCGGAGCCACTGAACCGTTGAAAACGACCACCTCGAAGGTGATGACGATGGAAGGGCCCAGTGAAACAAATGGAGCTTTGATGATCAACGTGCTGCGCACTGATGATCTCATCGCTGATCATATGCCATCCAAGCCCCTCTTGCTCGAGAAAATATCGCATTTGCTCATCAAAGTCGAAATCTCGCCCTCCAAATGTCTTATCAATGGACACTCACTTCCACTTACCTCTCATGCCTCTCGCAAAATGATCGAAGATGGGACGGTGAAAGAGGAGGTAGACCCCAAGAGCGGTCGCAAGAAATTGAAAATGAACGTCGAGATGCAACAAGTTCAAACTCTCAAAGTTCCCAAGGACAGTCCCCTTGTCCCATTAGGTTTAACGAAACCAGAGTTATTGAAGATCTCGGAGAAATACATGGCCGAGGGTGTGGTGGGCGCGGTCTTGAGTGTGACTGAAAAACCTGTGGATGTCGAGGCCTCCACCATGGATGGCCAAAAATTAGAAGCCGAAGCTTTCCAAGTTACCATCGGAATTCAAGTTCGTTTATTTTTCAGTTCTTCATCCCAATCGTCCTCTTCAAGACTAATGTTTATCCTTCTCTTTGCTTAGATCGTGGAGATCGACGGAGTTCTATTATCTACCACCGACCTTCCTTCGACTGATTTACTTGAATTGATTGTTCATCCCGACCCTGAAGACCCTTCAAAGGTTCTTGCCATCACCACTCTCGCACCCGAAGCCGAAGACGAAGACGAATCATCATTACCCGAGTCTTCCTTTGAGGAGCCATCTGGCTCTCTCTTTGACTCATTGATGAAGTCCAGCTTAGCCGCTCTTCCGGCAGCTGCTTTGGCCTCAAGTGCCAACATATTCGAAGACCTCATGAACAGACTTTCTGGCAGCCTCGCCTCTGATGCCCCGGTTGTCCCTGAACCCCAAACCCCACACCACCGAAAGCCTTGTGGCATGGGTAAACATCACGCTGCCCCACTCCCATCCCCCTCGGAAGACGCTTCTCAAGACAGCCAAAGCGCCGCAAGTTACAGCCCTGCGGGTGAAGTTCAAGCTCTTCATCAATCTCGTAAGTACAAACCAAGATACTTCAAGCTTCGTCACTGTATTGATTATTCGTGGCGCTCTCTTTTTACACCAGTGGCTACTTCGGGTAACGAGGAATCTTCTGCCGAGCAACCCATTGTTCGACACCACAAAGGTTTCAGCTTACGCTGCATGCTCACGATGTTCTGGAAGCACAGCTCCACTGGTCTCAAAGTTGGAATTCCTGCTCTCTTCTTCCTCGCGCTCTTCTTCGCGGTTGGCAAACTTGCCACTCGTCTTCGCGAAAGACGACAAGAATCGGAAGACTCAGAATCCAAGGCTTTACTTGCTAACCATCCCTCTGAAGTGGATGAGAAACCCTTTGCCGATGAGGAAGAGATGCGCTTGAACAACGGAGATGTGGTTGTGATCATCTCCACTCCTCATTCACCTTGATTTTTGTATATATATATATGTTTTCCCGCCGCAGATTTCTTCCTGTTTCATTTTTTGTGATGTTGTTTGGAGGCTATAAATGTATGATAAGTTGAGGCATTAGAAATCTTTTCATTACTTTTTGAAATGAGAAGATCATAACACAGCAGAAAAAACATGTTTATCATCGTGCTTTTTTTCTTGACTCTTTACGGTTTGTGTGCGATTCAGAATTTTCAAATTCAGAATTGAATTAAAGTTCTGGAGAGATCTCTACAATTTCACGTTGTTTTTTCTTATCAAATCATTTCTTCCCTATCTGCATGTCTTTCTCTCTCCTTATACCTGCACGTTCGTTACCTCCCATTCATCCCGTTGATCATTTTCAAGTTTCGTTCTTGACATGGCTTGTTAACCTCCTCATTTTCCTAATCTGGTTTCTATCTTGATGTTTTTACTTCTAACAACAGTTGAAACCTCTTTAGAATCTATGACCACGAAACAAACATCTTGATTGACTGCTTTGAGTTATGAGGGAGAAGAAAAGCAAGCTGATATCTTTCATCAAGGTATCCATTTTTTTATTTCTCAAATGTCATGAACTTGACACCTACAAGGAACAATCAAAACCATGTCCATTCACATTCTTCCACCTTGAAGGTAGACTGAAACATGTCATAATACATTGCCCTATTACAAATGACGAGTTTGTGCCGAGATCATGGTGGAATCTGAACAAGTGACTCACAATATTGCATTCAGCAACAATTGAAAGATTCCAGTCCAAGCACGATTTTGTAGCCTCTGACAGTCAAAATGTATAGCCTAATCCAAAGTATTGAAGGAGACATGCGTCACATCCCAGACATACACAGGCGTGAAAATAGTGAGTGATAACTTCAATCAAGACATCAACCACTCAAGCCTCACACCAAGAACATCAGAGAAAATGTTCCACTTCCTGTCACATACATATGATGCATCCCATCAAAATAACCTAAGTATAACAAAACACAAAGGCCTGAAATTTGAAATAGCTACATGGATGATTTTTTGATGATGAGGATTAAGTTCACTCCGCTCCACAGCATAATTTCTGTAGTCATAGCATTGGAAGAAGGATTGCAGAAAATAGAGAAGGAGAAAAAATTATGAAACCAAATCAAACACAAAAACAGTTGTTACATCTGCAATACATTGGTAATTTACAGTTTTGTGACAGGGAAGATAAAAGGATGAAATCGTGAGGTGTCTCAAAAAAATCGACCAATGTTTTGAATGACCTGTTCTTGTTTCATGATTGGATAGACATATATCCACAAAGAACTTGATCATCAATTAAAAGTTTCTCATCAAATGTTCGTCTAAATTATCGTGTCCTGTCGTTACTGAGTCTTGCTTTTGCTTTTTTTAACTTTTCTTTTACCGGCATGAATTTTGGATTATCATGTCATACCGTTGTTTTCTTCACCACTTCCGATGTTTCGTGAAAAGGTGGGATTTGGAAGATCATTGAGTCCATAGGCTCGTTTTTCAAACAGGTCAAGACTGGAAAGAAATTAGTACTAAATTTTCACTGATCATCTCATAGCAGCGAAAAATAAGACTCACTACCGGGCGTCTGAGGAAGAGTTGCTGTAAACTCTATCATGAATCATGAAATTTGACTTTGGATTGCTTGGCGGTTGCGAAATATGTTCATGACCACGAACAAAGGATGCCAATGGTGCTCCAGTTTCGATTCGATCCGGAATGGTCGTCATAGTATCAAAGGAGCTACAAGAGTTGGGCGAGTCTGATTGGGCGGCAAATTGCCAAGGTAGGGCATAAGCGAAGTCGAGTGATTTTTCGATGACATTCTGATCAGGTAAACTGCCTTCATTATCGGGTCTCCAGTTGGTATGTGAGGTAGCAGCGGTCGAAAGATTGATAGCTCCACTTGAATGCGATCGAGTAGGACGACCGCTCGGGCCTATAGTTGGATCAGTTTTTACCATTGGACTTTCTCGCAGGGAAGGGAAAAGACTGTAGGCAGAGGTAGGCTCAGCCGTATATCTCAGCGAATCTCGACTTGGTGACTGAAATTCAAAGTTGATAATCGCTCTTGGATCATCTGGTCCATCACTGATACACGTCTGTGTCAACATCGAACAAAGAAACATTTATCAGCTCGTGTCACAAGAATCAAGTTTTACAGTCCAACTTACATATTTACCCAAAACTTTAGCCAGAGCTGATTCCAAGCTACCCCATGCAAACACCTTGATATCTTTCTCAATATTACGTGGTTTTGGGTTTTGAAAACTCATGATACGCTTGAAGAATGCTTCCGAATCCGGTTTGGATTTGGTGACTGTGATAGGTTTGAAGCCTTGAAGATTGCGACGTATTCTATTTTTCTCAGCTGTCGGGAAGTTTGTTCCGACCAATGATTCAATCAAAGAGATCATATCCACAGACGTGATAAAACAGCCGTCCGGATCATCTCTGTAGATGCAGGATACGACTCCGTTTCGATTATCAGGTTCAGATTTATGTGAAGGAACAGCTTGAAAATAAACGGTGAGGACCGATCCTTGCAGCTTTCTTGAGAATTGGACTAATCTCCTTCCACATCTAGTTTCTTCATTCGTCCAACCACACATGATGTCACTCAAGGCGCCTTCAATACGTAAAATCAATCGGTTTTCTTCTCGACGCGCATACGAATGCAGCTGCGGGGCTTCATAGTCAGGCATTCGCATAGGTCGTGAGTCAGAATGAGATTTGCTTCTACTACACCGTCCCACTCGCGAGACACTTGTTAAAGCCACAATGTTGGGTTCAAATTCCCGATCAGAGGCCGACTCATAATACATTCTATTGATATCAAATGACATTCTTCTGTTCTCTTGATCAAAGGTCTCATATTCGGATACTTTGCTACCGTTAGGTGCGAAAGGCTGAGAAACGCAACTGTTCGGAACTGAAGCTGTCGCCCATGGTGAGTGCATAAGAGTATGATTCGGAAGGGTCGAGCCGTCCGATCCCCATAAGGAGGGTACGCCAAAAGCCGGCGTGGATGGGGTTGGTTTTGATCTTGCGGATGCAGGCTCCCGCGGATATGATGAATCTTCTCTTGGATACGTTTGAGATCTGAAGCTCTCGTTATTGGTTGATTGCTCTTGATCAAAAATCTGCGGATCCGTAGAGAGGTGTGAGGGTTGATTGTCCGCAAAACTACTGACATCTCGAAGCGGAAGTGGCCGAAGAGTCGTCTCCGAAGCTGATTTTTCCACAAAGACGCCATTAGTATCAATAACCTTCAACGCGACGAAAGGAGAAACTCACGTGAGGCAGGGCCTTTATCAAGATAGACATACTCGCCCACACCGACATATATTGTTTGACGGGATAAGTCAGAGTGTTCCTGATATTCCAGACAGAGGCTGACAAAGAAATGATGGGCTTCTGACGACAACGGAATTTGAGGAATGGTAAAGGTGACGGTAACCGCATGCTGTGTTATGCTCAAGTTAGGTGATATGAGGTCGGCGGCAACGTATTTCTGTAAGGTATCACTCTTAAGTGAGATGGTAGCTTCGATAAAGGTTTTGGGAAGAGGTGTAAAATGTAAAAGCTCCAATTTGACGTTTGTTCCAGCGATACCAGAACGCGGACCCCAATCTATCAATTGCACCGAATTGCAATAGATTGGTTTATCAGGTGCATTCTTTCTCGGGGTTGATAGCGATAGGGACTGCAGTGAGAGTCTTTGAGAAGGAGAGGTAGGTTCAGATAGTGTAGAAAAAGGAGACAGATCTGCTGTCAATTCTGGTGTATCTGTGAAAGAGGCAGCATGGTTCTGTACCACCGCGAGTAGAGGCTCAGTATTGCTAATCATGATTTCAAGTGCTTTGTGGTGATATATCGTTCGTTTCAGGTTCGTTTCTAAAGATCGATCGAGGTTGAGACTAGGGAAGCTACTGTGGTTTTGAGATGAAGATAAAACAGAGAAAATGCTTTTCACTCGTAATGAAATCAACGAGAGCGCCCAGCGATAAAGACTATCATTTACAGGACCATGAAAGAAATAAATTCGCGACAAGAGAGCAGGCAGTTTATGAGATAATGAAAGGTGATCGAAGAATTTAGATTGATATTATGAAAAGAGTTCCGTTAGAACGAACTGATGTTCAGCGGAGGTAAGCTCGCGTGTCAGAACAGGCGCGGAAGAAGTCAATAAACTTATACAGAATCAAAATGGTGGCTTGTAAGATGTCGGCCTTTCAGCTCGGTGCCTTGAGTGCTTTGCTTGTGCTTCCTTCAAAAATCAACACCCGCTCATCTGATCCAAATATCTATGAGCTGAGAGAAGTATTGTGATGTTGTAAACCTGATGCGAAGAATGGCCGATTAAGTGGGCGAGTGGGCTTTCTCGACACCCTCTTCGTTACTCTGCCCCGGGTCAGCGGTGGCCTCACTGATGGATTAAAAATAAAGACTTGCGATCGACTGCATGAAATCTTCGCAGCAGGAGACGCCAAGAACGCCGCGAGAGTTAACAAAGTAGGATGAGGACAAAAAAGCTGACTTCAGCAATTGTACTCATCAAGCCAATTTCACCAGCCGAATAGGTCGGTTGTAGATACAAAACGATCCATCCGGAGGCCTGCTGATCATGATCACATTTAAGTATGTATCCCGGTCGCAACAGGCCCGAGTTGAGAAGTGCCGCTGAACAGCCATTGCAACAAAAGTGCAGTTTGCGCAGGACGCGGGCAGAATGGAAGACAGGGCAGGTGGATGGGGATTTGTCGTGATTGTAAGACAATTGATTATCTGTTGGTCCCTTTTCAACCTGCACATTGATTCTGCATGACATTGGAAGTTTCAATCTTTGTGGTGCAGGCGGGGTGACAGCCGCAAATCAGCGCTGATGGTTGCAACAAATTGAGTGAGATTGAATTTCGAGCAAAGCTTCCGAACCGGGATCATATCGCGTTACATACTTTGACTCAGTCCTTTTACTCAAGATGGCCCCTGTGTTTATACAACGGCTACATGCCTTAAACGGAGAAAGCGGTTGAGTAAACAATCCGAAGGTGGCTTGAGGCACTCAGCAGCTGGGTCCACACAGGGGACTTCATGGGAATTATATCTCATGTAAGATGCACTCTCCTCTCAAATGCCCAATCACAAGAAGCCCCACAGAAATTGAGAATTGATTATTTTCGGTTGACGAGATCTGGCGTCGGCGATAGAAATGATTATGCCAGTGAGTCCACTTCACTATATGCACTGGACTGTGATATCATTCAAAGCTGAGCAAACTGGAACTGGGCCGTGGATTGTACACTACATGCCTCAATCGACTATTGATGGGAATCGTGGCTATGCTTAGCACTGAGCAGGCCTTACAGGCCATCTGCATTCGCTTTCCATATCGCTTACACTGAAAGATCATTTCAAGCATCGCTCCATAAATTATGCCGTACCATGATATCATTATATGTCACGCAACCCTTCCGTGACTGCGCAAGCAGTCATCCAGTTCTGTGATACAGCTATTTCATTATATGTTGGACATCAAGAAACAAATGATGAAGTTTTTACTACCTTGAATCAATGTAGGTGCTTTTTTGTGGGAAACACCCATTTAGGTGCTGTTTTGGTCAGTGTCTACATGGGTTCTCTGCCAGCTGCAAATAGCAACAGCCTTTGAAGAGACTATAACAAAAGTGTCCTAGTTAGGAAGGGTTTTAAGAGAATTCTTTTGAAAAGGATGTTTTTCTCATTAAAAGAATACAGATAGAACACTATCTATTGGTGGGTGTAAAATCAGGTGGTCTCCTATCTTGTTAATCCTGCAAGACTCCATATATACTTTCCTTGTTGGCTGACAAATTGTGTTTGCAATCTGCAGAGTATCTTTTGTTTTGCTGGGCTTTTCTGGTTTGTTTTTTTGTAACTAGACTTTTGATCTTTCCCAATACAGGGTTTATTAGAATCATGTTCATTGGTGTGATCAAGTGGGTAGTTGATAGAGGTGGATTGAGTACTTGTATTCCTACCTCTTTGGGAATTATATTGTTGGGTCTTTGTCACATATTTTACTTCTGTAGTGTAGAGTGTGGACCTTGCTTGTTTACTTGACACTAATTGTGTCTTGGAGGTTAGTTCTTCTATAGTGGGTAGTGTCTAAAAGCGCAAAATTGGGTATTTGGAGCAAAAAGCTTATCAGTGTCACAAATTTGACTGATACAGATGCCCAAAGGCACGACGGTTTCCGTGTGTTCCATGAGAGTTGGGGATGAACGGCCCCCAGGATCATAGTCCCGACGTAGGTACCGGGCCTGTCCGCAAGGAAGAGAGACCTAGTGAGCGCATACAGACAAGATGGAAATCTCTGCCTCGCACTCACACTCATCCCCAATAGCATAGGAGAAAAGAAATCTTCTTTCTTTCTCATCTCACACAGTTCCAATTTTTCTTTCCTCCCACCCACCCCTACACCCAACCACGCAGAGATCCACCCTTGACCAGGGAGTCTTCGGCTGTGCGGCTCCCCCCAAACACGTGAGACCTAACTCGCATTAGAGTTTGGTAACAAACAAAAGACGGTAATGGTTAAGAGTGTACTCTTATGTGTAAAGGAGTAGACAATGCCTTAAAAGACCTAAGACATGAATTCAAAAACATAACATGATAATATGTATTCATTGATCCATATAGTGTATTCCACACAAACTAATGGATCCAAATTGGAATCCAAGCACAGATTTGGAATCCTCACATCGGAAGCTATCAGAAATTGTCATCTCGCTTTGAATTTTTCATCATTTTTACAACACAGCAGATTTGTATCATAGAATGTAATTTTTGATAACAAAGGATAAGCAATACAATTCCTAGTGCTTTGCGGCCTTTTCCATCAGCAAGGAGAAAAATTACAGCAATAAGTCAGTATTTGATGAAAATATAAGGAAAAAGGAACAAAAGTTATCAATCAAAGTCAGTATTGGTTGCATTCTTGATAAAAATAAAAAAACAATACAATTAGCAGTGCTTTGCAACCTTCTCCATCAGTGAGGACAAAATTTCCAGCAAGAAGTTCAACATTTGATAGAGATATAAGGAAAAGGGGAAAAAAGACATTGATTGAAGTCAGCATCAGTTGCAAAGCTCCAAGCAACGGTTCAATTTGAAGTGTATAGCTTGACAGAAGGTTAGAACCAGGTTCAGCTGTCATTCCCTCCTACAAGCCATCAAATGCATTGAACAATTAATAAATCAAGAAAATTCATGAATGAGATTGAGCAAAAAGTGGACTTACAAGAAATTGAACATTATCTTGTTGGTCTTGCAATGAGACCGTCGGATGGTCACAGGAGGACAGGTTTGCCCGTTTGTTTCAAAGTAATCCTTTTCTTCCTGAAGATTGGAACACTTGTAGCTGTGTTTGAGATGACCTAAAAACAAATTGTCGTATGTATTAATCCGGTCAGTATTGGATACAAAAGACAAGAAAGCAAAGAAGATGAAAAACTCACATGGTTTGATGTAACATCAAACGAAGTCAACTGGATCAAAATACCAACAGAATTTGAAGTTTGACAAAGGGACTGATCAGGACTGATCTACCCAAATAATGTGATCTCAATCCTATATGTATAGGGAATTCTGAACACATGTAATTTTTTTGCCCGGTCCAACATTTCACGCTTTTAGACACTACCCACTATAGTGTCAAGTTTATTTTGTTGTTTCAGGGCTTTCCAAGCAGCTGGTTCAACAGGCAGGCAAAGTGCTTTCTTTATTGAATGCTCCTTTCAAAAAAGATCAGTCTTTGTGTTGTTGTAAAAGTCTGGGTTGCTGATACTAGAGCGCTAAAGTGTAATTAATGTAATTCTTTTTATTAATTTTTGGGGTTTATTTTATTACTCAAAGTGTGCTTTTATGGTTACTAGAGTCTTTTGGCTTGTTGAGGGCCCGTTTGGTTGTGATTATTTTACTGTGATTATGCCAATACCACAGTAAAATAATTGCAACTATTTTTTCACTGTTTGGTAGCCCAAAAACATGGATTATCTTACCACATTATTTGTTCAATAATCTCATAAGCGGTATTAATTCTATAAATTCCTTTTTCCGTTTATTCTGCTTGTAATTGGATTAATTCCCTACGTGAGAAGGGCACTTGTCAAAAACTCACCTCTTTACCTCACCACCAACACCATCCTGCTCAACACTCCTTCAACGTACCAACACTGCTACACATCAAAACTTTGATCACCGAAACTTTGATCACCGGATCAATCCTTCAAATTCATCACATCTTTAATCAGTGTTGTTGCATCTGTGATCGACTTCATTACATCCTTGAGTCATCAGATCTCATCTTCTCTCCCACTCATCTCATATCTCTCATTCCTGTCATTCTACATTCAGTTGTTGGTATCATCACATCATCAATACAATCACTTTGTTAATAACTCAAGTTACCAATATCTTCATCGACTTCTCAATATAACTTTTTCAATATCATCACTTTATCTATACTGACACTTGGTCTTGTTACATGAATTCAAGTCAAAATGACACCATAATGGAAATGAAGATTTGCATGATGATGATAATGATGATGATAGCAACATTGGATGATCTTTTTGATCAAGCTTGATTCAGAGATGATAATGTGGAATTAAATGTAATTGCATTAAACTTTGAATGATCTGATAACCTATTTTGCGGAAAGTTGAGATAGTCAATTGAGCGAGTAAACGAGAGATGTTGATGAACCTGATCAATGAAGCATTGATAATGAGACTTTTCATCATTGGAGTACAAATAAAAAACCACCAGTTTTCACAACCACTATAATGCGGATGTGGTTTTGAGTTGCCAAACGATTATTGCCAATTACCACTGTTTAATTCTGTACTCCGATTAATTGTGAGTTTGAACTTTTACTGTGGTTTCAGGTCCATTAATGCAGCACACATTTACTGTAGTATGCAATAATCTCTGGCAACCAAACAGGCCCTAAGTCTCTTATTTAGAAGAAGAGTAGGCTGAAGTGCCTCTGGCTATCTTAATGTGATAGCTTGGGTGCTGACAAGATCTAAGCTTTTCTTGACAATCAAGAAAACAAAATTTACAAGAGCCAAAAAATAAGTAATCACATATTTGCCAAACAATGCTCCCACAATAAATATGTTCCAACTTCTCATATGTGTATGATTCAATCATTTGTTCCACATTGAATTTACTGTACAAACAAAACCCTAAAACCAGTATAAACATTTCCAATTTTTTCAAAATAAAATTTGTTGAATTCTTTCACATTATAAAATTCCACACTTTCTCTAAAAGATTCCTTGCTGGAGGTTCATCCTCTTCCACTGTAACAAAATGATACAAAAAAATTAACAATCCAGTCTTTGGTAAAGAAAATAGATTTCTTACTTACCACAAGATTTGCTGCCAGTATCTTTTTCAAAGAGGTGAGAAATTTGATTGATGTATCCATATGTCAGTCAACAATCATCAATGATATGAACCAGTCATGTAATGATCATGACTCACCAAAGTCCATACTTCCTTTTGGTACAAGACTCGAGCCAGTCTTCCAAGCATGTATTACAGCCATTGCTATAAACACAACAACTGGAAAGTAACATGTGAAGCTGTATTCACAGGATACTATCAGCCGATTCATCCCAAATATTGCTCAACATGCAATATCAAAGCTTACAAAGTTTCAAACTCCCAACCACCCTTCAGGAATACTCTAAAACCATTGGTAAAGATGATGATGACACAGCACACAAGACCACACCAAGCAGCCTTCGGTCCGAGTCTGTTATTTAGACAGATCATACCAGGTGATCAGTGGATATGGCATGAGAACGGAAATCTCGTAAATGACTCGGACTTACGGAGATCGATACGGAAGCTGGGATTTTTCGTACTTTTGTACAATCATACCAGACTGATCCACAAAGCACAATTGGATCCAATCAGTTTGTTGATAAAGAAGAAATCATCTTATAAAGCTCACATGGAACCGGATATACCTATAAGCCCGAGGAATGGTAAGAAAATATCACCATCCAACAAAAATACTAAATAAACTCACGTGGCAAATATAGAAGCCCAGACTATAAGCCCCGTGACCGAGGTCATATTACATAGTGCTCCAAATACTAGTCCGATCTGAATACCCGTGCATCATGTTTTATCATCTCAGCTTGATGAAAATTGCGAAGCAAATCCGAGAAAGATCCTGTGACTCACCTTTCCTGCATCCGCTGACATCAAAGCCAAAGCGCTATTTCGGAAATGGAATATCAATACACCGATCTCGAAAAACATCAGAGAATTGGAAGCGCATATACACACCCCACGGCAATACCGGCAAAGTAGCAATAAATCGGTACTCCGTTCGAAGTAAGCTTAGATCTATAAGCAAAAAGTATCAATAATTATGTCACACTCAACATTAAACTCAGGCTACGCACAGAAATCGTGGGGCGCTACCAGCGAGACTCATTCCATATAGAGTTCTACTGGAAACATATCTATGAACAAGAAAAGCATTTCAAATACATAGCTGCTTTTATTTCTACTTAATAAGCATAGGGAGAGCACGCACAGATTTGAGGATGCAGCAGACCACGCTGAGGTGAGTAGCGCGGCGTTGATGATGGAAGGAAGTCCCTTGATTCCTGCTTTTTGTACACTGTGATTGAACGAGAAGATCAGATATCCAACACTTTGAACGACACAAAACTCCCGAGCAGGTCATTCCAGGAAGAGGAACTTACGCGATTACAAAGGGTGACTTCGCTCCAGTAGAATCTGATAGCAAGAGTCTTCGTTCATTGGACGGGACAAGAACAGCTACATTGCGGATTTTTTGATCAGACCACTAGAGAGAATTGCAAAAAGAGATCTTGCACTAACAGATGACTGCTGTACCAACCACATACTGAAACATAAGACATGATCAGCTGTGAATGCCCTCATCAAGATAAAAAATACGAACTCACAAAGACTAGAACCCTTCCTAAGACACGCTTGATAGCTTTAGGCATGTTTCTCTGTCAAAATGAACCACTTTTCAATGAACACATACCCATGCAATCTCACTCAATCCGCATGGTGAGCTTACCCTAGGATTTTTGGCTTCAGCTGCTGCTATGGCAGCTAGAAAGAAGCAACAAGGCCAGGAATGACATACAGAGAGTCAGAATTGCAATAAAAGATGATCTATCTGATCACACTCACTGGTTTCAATTCCAATGTAAGAGAATGCAGCAGTGATGAAAACAGAAAAAAATCCACAAAAGCGACCAATTGCTCCAGGTACACCCTTATACTGAAAATAGTTTTGAGCCTTCATCAGAAATAAATCCGCACAGGAGAATTGGAAATAAAATTAAAAGGAAATCCCGACTCACCTGGACAAAAGGGCCTAAGAAATTGTATTTAAATAGAAACAAATCACTCAGAACCTCAACCAATGCATGATTAATGCATTATGAACTCACCTGGATCTTTCCAATAACGAAACCCGATGCGCTCGCCAGTTACTCCTCCCAAGTCTAGTATGATACCTAGGATTATCACGCTCACGATGGTGAGGATCTTTATGCTACAAAACCAAAATTCCATCTCTCCTGATTGCCAGAATTTGATAGAAAGCCTTATGAGGTTATCTTTCTTCTGAGCGCGACTATCATATTCATACAAAACATACCATAGACTCTCGCGCCACTGATCAAATAAATGTCAGTATTTGAATCTTGATGATCGTGAAGATTGAAATACGCTTACCCCAGATTGATCAATGCGACTCCAACTAGGAAGATTAATATCCCTGTTGAATTTAAAATACGAAATAAGGAGTCTGAAGAAAGAACGATAAAGCAGCTGATGATCACTGACAAATCGCCGGATTTATTCTCGTCGTCCAAAACCGGATGAGTATGGCACAAGCGGCGAGTTCAGCTAAAATTTTGATTTGCCAAGTCTCAATGAGCTGTCCCAATAAATTACAAGGCAATGCGAGAGTGTTCTTACTTGCAAGACAGACAGACCTGTGATCGCATTTTTGAATGTACATCAGCTAGAGTTTTCTTTAGAAGATGTATGCGATTTATTCTGCTCACCAAAGATACCAATATGCCCATCCAAGTGCGAAACCAAGACTTGGAGAAAAAAATCGATATGCTAGCGCCGTATGACCTCCAGCAATTGGAAGATGGCAAATCATTTCACCTGATCCAAAGAAATTGAGTACAAAAAATTAAAACCACTCTTCAATGGGGCCCATTCACAAATGCTAGAACACTTTTTCATACCTAGACTGCACATTAGGGCCCAGGCAAGGATTCCTGTGAAAGCATATCCTAAAACTAATGAGGCAGGTCCACCGTTCGACAAAGCTGTACCAGTTCCTATGAACAACCCAGTGCCTATGAACGTGAAATTTCGTATGGCATCAGTACATTGTTTCAACCGATCCTCAAATTTGAGAAATTGATCATCTTTTACCTATTGCACCCCCACTTTTACAGACGAGCAAGATCAATATTTCTTAATGGGTATGAACTAAGTAAGATTGAGACATAGAAAGTGACAAACATTGATATCATCGCCACATGCCGATTCTTCAATGTACGAGGAAGGTTGTTTTGTTCGCCAGAGATCTGTTGACGTTCTAAACTGCCGCCATCTTCCTTTTCCCTCGAGTTTGACCTACAACTCTCAAAAGCGATGGTTGAAATCGTATATTTTGGCAAACTTGGATCGTTCATCTTGGTATCGGAACGGCGTGTTTGTTTCCGTAATTGAAAGAATTAGGTCTGGTTAGAGCGCTTCAAGAGCTTTGTATCACGATGGCAAATGTACAATATATGCAAAGGTTTCGGTTCTGGATCAAACGTAAGGAAGATAATCAGAGTGAATATCCGCGGTAGTGTGATATGGTGTCATATGAGGTCGTCTTACTAAAAGATCTTGATGCTGATTCGCAGAAGCTCACTTATATGACGATTGACCTCCAAGTCACGATATTCCAGAAATGAGCGAATCTTTTGTTGGTGAGCAAGATGGTGACTTGAAGATACAGATGTCGCAAAATTGAAGTCTTGAATTCACCATCTGCTACTCTAACAATAATAGAAAACTATCTTCTTGGGTACCATGCCTCATACCATTACAAAACAATGACGCCTTCGATAAAAACTTGATGACTGCTGATTCGGGCGATCACACCATCTCAACTTCTGTTTTCGTCATACAAAGTCTTATTGAGTAAAATTTTGCTTAACGAATTGCCTAAACAGGTATGAGCTAGAGTATCGTTTCCTATAATGAAACACCTGGTATGAACCAGCGGCTGCGGCTCATTGCCAAAATCGATCACTCACTAGTCTACGGACATTTCACGAGTTTCGCACTTTAGAGGCTTTCGCATCTTTTTTTCCATCCTCTAATCGAAACCCTCTTCGGTAGTCCCGGATTCTCCGGCGTTCCCACCCTCTTGATTATCATCCCGGCAGTCATAATTGTATGCGCCATCAAGCAGACTTCATCGGGATGATCGGATTTTCGTGGTCCTCGTTACGATATGACGGATGATCTTGCATTGTGTGGGGTCAAACCCGATGTACTTCAGGCAGAGAAGCAGCATACTGCTTCGAGCTTGATTCTTACTACATTTGCAAGCATTCTGATGAGGGATTAACACCAAATCATGTTATAAATGTCGAGAGAAGTCTGTTATGACTTGATACGCAGTCTCACCTCGGCGGAGCTCTTTCCGAAATTCCAACTGATTTCATATCGGAGAATTGACACGCCCCCTCAATGCTGCGTGAATACAGATGTATATCTCACACAAAAACCAGCAGTCACACAAGGTTGCCCAATGCCATTGCCAATGAGACAAAAGTGGCTCTCAAACCTGACCCAGTTTCAAAAAACCCAGTTGACCCAGTAGAATTTTTGGCTGGGAGCTGTCAACAAATTTCAACTTGATACACAAAGTTACTGCCAAAAAGCCCACTGGGTTAACTGGGTGTTTGAAACCCGGGTCAGGTTTGAGAGCCACTATCTAGAGCTTGCATCATCGTGACTCTATGGCGCTTTGAATCACATTGTATTAGGAAGTCATAAAGATTGCTTGACCTGAGATCGTCCTATCGATGTTTCTAGGGTCAAAAGACGCAATATGTTTACTGACAATTGGCGAAATTCTATCAGTCACTCCACACACTTTCCTATCTCATCACTCAGCTCTTTTCCTTGATTGCACATTCTTTGGCACACAGTAGTCGCAGAGTGTAATGATCAAGAAAGAAAAATCTAACACTGTTCAAACCCTTAACTTTGCTTCAACCATTCTGCGCGCTAGCCAAGTTAAGAAAACTTGATTCATGTAAAATTTGTTGAAGATTTTTCCTAACTTTGGGTTTTTGGGCTTGTTTGCTTGTTGTTCAAAATAACAAAGAGAATCATGGCCTAGTGACGAGTAGAGAGGTTCCTTTTGGCAATGTAAATGAGCTCTAGAGTTGATGTGGTGTGGATGTGGGTTAATTGTTGGCTTGACTAAAGTCCCTATACATAGTCAGACACATTTTCCTCACAAGCTCGGGCGTCTGGAGAGGTACTGTAACACTTATCTGTCAGTCTTGGTGGGCCAACAGGGGTTTCCCTATCCAAGTTTGGCTGGGAGGTAATTTAAAACCAATCACTTGTACTTTGTCTCAATCAACCCCTGTTCCTAATTCAGCTGGAGCTACCTGTGTCTATTCTTTTCCAATCTGTCTATCCAGATTTCCTGGATCTCACTTTCAGCTCTCTCAAGAACAAAACCAAGACTTTGGGATTTAAAATTTGGTGACTGCATCTTTGAAATAAAATTTAAAAAGGATCTAGTCTTTCTAGACAACTAATTCTCCTTTCTCTTGCAAGAGGATCAATAAATGATTCATGAAATTTCCACAGACCACAGTTGTTCATCTTGATGTTCTGGAGATTTTGTTTTCCTCAAGAATTGTGTGTTGTACCAAATACAGAAGATGCAATACTGTAGATGAGCAGGGCCTTTTGGATGCCTGCTTGCACACCAAAACTAGCTGATCAGTTGCAAGTCGCAGTCCAGGGCACCAAGCTTGCAAAGATTAAAAAAGCCCTGCCAGAAATTGTGACTTGAAGTTGTGTTAAGTTGGGGTTAATTGTGATGAAAATGCCAAGCTCAACTAAGCCTCTCTTCTAATGCACTCATGTCTGCTCTAGGAGAGCGGATTATGACTGAAACTCCAGGTTTGGATTGAGCACAGCAGATTTTCAACTAATTTTTCTTGGAATTCCATTGTGAGGGCTCTAGCCAACACCGCAAGCACTATGCAACGCAATGGATTTTGACCTGTTTCCATTGTGTTGCGTATTCAGCGCAATATCACACTCCACAACCACTCCGCCATGAGATTGTTTTTTCTATCTCAAGGTTGCGGAGCGGTAGGGAAAATATTGCCCTGAATAGCCATCAAAAAACAACCGCAATTGTGGTGTGTTTCTGAGCAATGGGTTTTTTCAGCCCGGGTTGTGGTGCTCTGGCACCACAATGTATAGTGCTGCTATTGCGGTGCCAAAAATCACTACGCAGGCGCACTGCAAGCACAATGTGGTGTGGTGCGCTTGCAGTATTGCTCTAGCAACACCTAAACCGCGCCTCAGATTTCCCCCTTATCAACATGAAATTTTGAGGTGTGGCAATTTTCTGCCACATGCAGCTCTGCCAGTGCTGCAGGCGCAAGCAAGCGCAGCAGACTTTTGAGTTGCTTCACAGTGTCATTTTACTAGTCACTGGCTGGCCAGTGAGTTCCATTCACCTCAATCCAATCTCAATTCAATGCCAGTTCAATATCAGTTTGACCTCCAATTCTGTTTGAGTGGGGGATATGCATGGGCTGCATAATCACTCAAACCTTCCAGACATTCTGACACGTTCATGTGTGGACATATAACACTTTATTTCAGTTAATTCTGGAAGGTTGTTTGTCTGCTACTCTAGGCCAAACATCAAGATTGGATTGATATTGAACTGATATTGATTTGAGATTGGCTTGAGGTGGTTGTACTCACTGGCACTGGCAACATTTTTACCTTGGATCTCTTAAACCAAGGTATTCTGGGATTGAATCCAAGCCATTTTGTGGCCCATAAGATTTCCTTGGGTTGAAACCTTGGACAGGATTTATCTGAGGATTTTCATTCAATGATGCCTCAGATTTCTCAACCCGAGGCACATATGTTGGCAGTGAGGCCTGCCAGTGAGTAGTAAAATGAAACTGTGCTTGTGCTCTGCTTTGTTAATTTATCAGGGAAGGGCAGCAGCACAAGGCAACACAGTGCCCGTGGAGAAGGCCCCCGACGTCGGGGGCCCAAAGCTCTTGCGCAAAAGTATGTAAAAAACAGTGATTTTTCTGTCCAGGCCAATTTGGAACGCTGAGCCTGCCCAGCTTTCCCCATCCTCAGCATCTAGACTCCGGCATTGACCTCAGGAGCACTGAGCCATCATCTAACTTCATCAACAGTGATGAGCAGTGATGAGCAGGGCTGAGCGGCCCTGCCCTGATTGTATGAACCCATCTGGGATCCGTCAAAACCTGTGCTCAAGGCCACTACCGGGCAAAGACACCTGTTCCCGCAATTCCTGTGTGTAGATTGGGGTTGGAGCTGTGGTACCCAGATCTTGAAGAGAGTACCTGTCCCAATGCCATTCTTACAGGATTGGATGAAGATAGTGAGAAGAGTAGACCCAGGATCGCGCTAGATCCCATATCACGTTGGAGAGCAGTAGTCGGCACTGATATCAGAGTATGTTGTCACTTTCATGTTTTAAAACAATAATAAACACGACAAGCTGATAAATGATCATTCCTACTCTCAACAATCTTGATCACAATACAATCTCACGATCAAGAGTCCTAAACTTACACCCTACGTGTATCAAGTACTTTGTATCGTAGCTCACGGCAGAGAGGCAGGTGCCACGGTCATTGAACTGGTCGACAACTAAAGCATGACCAGAAATCTTCATTCCATTTCGTCAAGGTTTTAACCATGTGGGAATCGTGACAAAATTTAGAGCTTATCAACACAAAGCTTGGACTAATCGAGTCGTTCACAAGCGATATTTGGCTACTTCTGAGTGGTATAAAGATTTTTCGAAAACAGATAATCCAGCAAAGACAACACCTTCCACTTCATCCTTGCCAACCTCTGGCTTCAATTTATTTCTAGACGATCCCTTCAACTCTTCGAATCTTAACATTAACAATCAGTTTGGTGGGTTTGGTTTCAAAACTCAATTTCATGGAACAAGTACTTCTACCGCTGCTCAGCTAGGAACTCCTCCTCAAACAATCCAAAACTTGATCGGTTCTGAGAATGAAACCGGAATGAAGGTCAATCAGAGGAAACTCAGGAACACCCGCCTTTGTCTCCTATCACCGAAGAACATTTAGCTGTCAATGAACCTCTGATCCGATCAAGGATTTGTACAGTCCTTAAACCCAGCGCTCATCATACTATGATTCATGCTGATATTATCAAGGCAATTGTACGTTTTTTTAAAATTTCAATCTTGGAACCCAACGTGACAAAAACTTGACAAAAGAAAAATCAATATGATTCATTGTTTTTACTACCTAGGGAATTGCAGTTCCTTCCAAAGATGAACGTAGACGACTTAATCGACAGATAGATGCGTATATCAAACGCGGCTTTTTGGAAAAAGTGGCACCCCTTCTTCGACTCGACAGTCATTAAGACCTGCGTGTTCAACAGCCAATACCGTAACAGTCACAGTGGAGTCTAATGATCACGATGAGGAAGAGAAACGGAAAGTTGCCCCGGCTGCAGTTCGCAACCGAAAGAAGCAAAAAAGTACTCAACAACCTGTCATCGATCGGCTTGATGGTGATGAATCTCAACCTATTGTAACCAAAGCTGCTGTGCCCGCTGAGTCATCCCAACCATGTATTTCTCAACTTACAACAATATAAACCTCTTCAGAATGTCAGCCATCGACATCCACATCTTTGTCGTTACCGGCCAGTCCACCTAAAATGATACCTCGAACCACAAGATCCTCTGCAAGACTGGGTAAGCCATTGATTTCTTACCTCCGTGACTTCAGCTTATCACATGAAGCGCATTTCATCGCACTTATATACTCTTGGATTCTTATAACATAGTGGTCGGCTTGTCGTCATGAAACCGTCAAAACTTAACAACTTTGAATCGAGAACAACAGCGATTAGAAGCTATCCGATTTGCCGGTGGAATAGCAGAAAAGACTCAAGACTTGGCAAAAGCAGTCAGAGATTTGGCTGGTCCGGGTCAACAAGTCAGTGCTGCGAATCCTATGGATAGTAGGACTCTCAATACTACCCTATGGGCTCTTCAGACTCGAGGCGAAATAAAGGTGACTACTGTAATGGTGCCGGATGCGATTGGGAATCCAGTCCGACGTTCAGTGGTATACTTGGCTAGTATTCCTTTAGACAGTCCGGAGATGATCAACTGGTTGGAGGATTTACAAGCTCGAGATCATATCTTACAAAACCAAGCGCTAAATGTACCTACCAGGAAGCCAGTTGTGAGAGATGGCCCGCTACCTAATACTAATGCAGCGAGGAGAGAGATGAGGAGGACACTGGTTGATGCTTCAGAGGACGCTCTACAAGCTATGTTCAAAAATCAATGGAGATGTATCGCTCAACTCTATGGTTATTAAATGGGACGAGTGGCGCGGGCTCGATCTTTACATCTCTTTCTTTTAAAGTCATTTGAACAAGATTATCAAGAGAGTACTTGCAATTTGTTTTTCAATGGTCAATGTCGTATTTTTGCCTGTGGTTTCCTCTTTCAAGACTTGCCTTTGGAAGTTTTTAATCAGATAGTACCGATCATGTCTCAAAGTGATGAGTTTGAAGCTTATCGAGTAACCCCAGGCGCGATGCAGAAGCCAATGAGTCAAGTACTCCCAATATCCGACAAATGTTGAAGATCGCAATTCAATCTTCAAGAAGAAAGGTTTACGAGGCGGTGGAAGTCTTGGTCCATCTCCGTGTCTTAATCCCCTTGAGAAAGTCAACAGAACCCACAGAATTCTTTAGATTGGTACCAAATGCCGAGAAAATATATTATCAAGCTTGTCAGATGAACATGACTGTTGGGATTTTTAGTCTAGCCAATGAAGCCCTAATTCATAAACTTAGTCAATCACCTCCAAAGTCCACCACCATCACTCGCCAAGTGGCCGCTTAAGAATGTTGATGATGGAAATCGGTTTTGGACAAAACTTCATCGTGCTTCACTACCCGATCCAGAAGCTCCACCGTTACAACATACATTTGAAAGCTTGAATGAAAATGATCAATTTAGTGCTTTTGCTGACTCGCATACATTACTTCAACTGTTGACTGATCAATCGAAGTGACATAATGATGTACAATTAACGTGGAGCCAAAGAGAACAAGCTATCAGATTAAATAATAAACACAAAGATCCGCCATTGGATCTTGAAAATGATACGCAAGAAGTCGAACACCTGGCTCGAATTTCATGTACAACTCCGGAAGCATTTAAAAAGACAATTCAAGCCACTAAGGATTTGGCTGGGAAACGAAAGGCCAAGAAAAAGCTACGTAAGAAGGAATTAGGCTCTGACGCGGAGAATAATAAATTATCAGATGAAGCTGCAAGTAAATTAGCACAAGAAAAAGCAGGAAGAGTCTCAGCGGCCAAAGCTAAAAATTTATTTCAACAAAAAGAAGATGATTTCAGTTCAATAAAAGAAAGACAATGGGCCTGAAACCATTCCTTTGAATAACCAACCAAAGGGAACTCAAAAGCCTGGACAATTACCTTTACTAACTTCAGTACAAGCTAAATTACTCAAGGTCAAGAAAATCAAAGTGGCACCCAAGCCTCATTATGACAGGGGAGCTTTACACAAGTTTCCAGAATGCCCTTTGAGATGGAGTGCAATCACAGCACACGCTATTCGACCTCATCTCCAAGTTGTGATAGGACTTCGACCACCAACAAGTAAGTTTTTCTCTGATATGATATTGAAATCAAGGCGTGGTTTGATGTTAATGATTTGGATGATTTTTGGTTACTTTAGCTATAAGCGTACCTGGGAAACGAACTCGTTTAGAATGGTCAGACACATTAGATGAATTCTTAAGAGATTTAGCAGCCATCTTAAGAGTTCGAGCTTATGCAATTTGTGCAAGTTTATGGCCATGGTCAATTGCAACTAATGTTTTTAAAGGTACAAAACAATTGATTTTACAAAATCGAATCCGAAAATTAGAATGAGATATATCAGACAAAATCTATATGGATTTTCTTACAGATACATGGAGTCATTTATATTTTGCAAGACGTGGAAAAGTACCTGAATTACTGGATCCATCTCCTACTATGTCTTTAGTCTTAGATGGTGGTTTGGCTTTAGATTATCTTAGATTGAATATTGATAAAGAATATTTAAGATCACAAGTGAATGTACAAGGAGAAGCAGATGTTCCATCTGAATTTCCCTCACCTGATACATTAGAAGAGTTTTATAAAGTATATCAAATCACGCAGTCCTCTAAGCCTTCTGAAAGATGGGATCAGGTTCATCTCTCTGCCAATAACGTAATACGGGAGGATACAATGCTAAGTGAAGCCTTTTCGATGTGTACAGAATTTTCAAATGATTTGGAGGCCGTACCCAATCAACCGACTAGGCAGATCATGAGAGCATCTGAAGCTATCAAGGTATGCTTATCACATTTACTGATCTACTATCACTTCGCTCTAAAGTTGATGAGTGTTTGTTTCTTTCAAGCTTCTTACATCCACTTCAATCGAAACTTACTCCAAACCAGTCGCCACTTGTTTTCTCTCACATCACGGAGAGAATATCTTGATTGCTGCTACCAAGTATTTGCATTCTATGGGTATGATGATATTTGGGAGTAAGGTATATTACAGGAAATGTCTTCCAGGTTGTAGCTATTGTTATTCGGATAAGTGAGTCCCTACTTTAATTTCTTTAATATGTTTAAGTTTTTACTAATTTTGGATGGAAATCTTGGATTGATCTGCCCACCTGATAATCGAGTTGTCCGACCTTATAAGCTAGATGAAGCAATGGAACAACTACGTTCTCAGTGTGACGATAATTCTGATGGAAAAGTCAACTGGTTTTTATTTGCCACTGATACAGAAACTGCGGCTCTACTACATGCATTCTCTCAAAACCAAGTAAGTTACAAATCAAACTGAATGAACTCTTCAAATTGGATTTTCTGACTAATATCTGATGTTATGATGGGAAAATAGGTGAGCTTAGAGATTGATGTCTCTGTAAATCGAACAAAACGTTGGAAGGCCAGTTCAATATATTAGGGGTATTCAAAACTCCAGAAACTCGTCCCAGAAGTTCCCAGAAGTGACATCCAGAAATTTCTGGGACACCTCCAGAAACTTCTGGATGACACTTCTGGGCTATATTTGAAAGCACCTTTAAGCACATCGGTTCCAAACCTCACATCACTCACATCTCATGGTGCCGCGAGTCTCAGCCCGACGACAAGTCCTGCAAGTTCTGAAATCAGTATCACGCCACTTCCTTGCTCACCCTACGGATGACACACTTCGTCTTTCATCACCACAACATCCCTCAAGCACCTCAAGATTGTTATCAATTATGCTCCTCCTGCCTCATTTACTACCCGATCTCCCACTTACACCAATCACTCGCTTGACTTTAGCTTTCATTCTGAAAAATCGAAGGATTCAAAATCTTGACGACTTTGAAATGCAGATCAATGATGTTGAAATATGGTTAGGCGAGCTCGAGCGTGTTGAAAACCAGCGATACCTCACTTCAAGATCTCTCCGCGATCGAGACCTTTCATACGAGCTCTTCCATGGTCTTATGAACGGTGGAGAGGTGATCTTCATCAAAGTGGTAAGGTCTCATGTTTTTCTAAATCATTTTGATTATGCTTAAAAGTCTCCTTGGATGATATGGTCAGGCGCGAATGAAGAAGGTCAACTTCATTACCCTGTTACGTAAGATTGAAAGCAGCAAGGTGTTTGAAAACTCATCAAGCAACCCTCAAGCACGCGTGGAATTGCAACTCTTGGTTGCCTTAGCAAACATCGGCCTTTCAGGAAATGGAGGACAAGTGTCTCTCGTTGGCCGTTTATTAGGGGTTTCAGGTCAGTGCTTGTTTATAAACTTTTGGGCTTGTTTCCGTTACTGACTTACATACCAATTTCAGATGGCAGTGTCGGAAACTACACATGATTCTCAAACTGCAGAATGAGTATCTTAGCTGGCCTTCGCCAATTGAACGTGTCAAGATCAGGGACGAGATCGCTCAGAATCACCCAGCTTTGAAAGGGTGTGTAGGGTTTGTTGATGGGACTTTAATTCCCTTAGCTTTTGGCCCAGTGATCTGCAAGGAAGATTATTGGACCCAAAAATACTTCTATGGTCTCAATTCGATGATTGTCTGCGATAATTGCCGGCGAATCACTTTTGCGCGCCACGGATGGTGTGGAAGCGTTCATGATCAACGAGTTCTCAGAACGTCGTCGGTAAGTTTTTATGCTTTTTAAAACACCACACACAAGCTAATTGATTGTTTAGCTTTGGTGTCACCCCGGTCGCTACTTCACCGAGGGTGAGTATTTAGTCGCGGATTCTGGATACAGTGCATCGAAATGCACTGTTCCTCTGTTCAAAAGAAACAGCACCTGTCAATTTCCCGGACTCAAGAACTCCTTTAACAAAGAGCTTAGTGAGGCACAAACGGTGATAGAGCATGTCAATGGCATGCTCAAATCACGTTTTCAGATGATGAAAGAGTGCAGACTCATCTTACGAGATCAAAAATCTCAGAAGCGCATGAACGCACTTCTGATGGTTTGTTGCTTACTTCACAACTACCTTTTGGCAGAAGATGAAAGCACATCCTTTTCTTACGGGATTCCTAATCAGAACGAATGCGAAGCTGAGCGATCATATAATGAAGAACACCAACCTGTGGCGGACTTAGTGCTTGCGGATAATGATGATTCTTTACGCCGTGAGGTATTTGCAGATTACTGTGCGATGATGGGAGAAGATGTATGATCTTGGTAAGTTTCATGTGATTTAAAGGGAATAAGTACCATTTGCCATGTTGATCTCATTCGTCAAACTCATCCCTTGTTTTTAATCTCACTTAGGTATTTTTTTCTATGTCGAGCTCACTTCTAAAAGCGACCTTATATTTTCACCCTTTTTTATTTTTTTGGATGGCAAACGTAGTTTGGAAAAATAAGAGAGAAATTTATTGATTCTCACACATAGTTATCTCACTTAGGTCTTTTTTTCGATGTTGAACTCATTTTTAAAAGTGGCTTTTTTTATTTTCACACTTGTTGCCTTTTTGTTATGTCAAATGAAGATTCAAAAAACAAAAGCAGATGATTATGAATCTCACACTTACTTACATTTTCAGAAGTCAATCATCAGTTTGAAAAACTTTTTTATGGGCTCATGTATTCAATCACATTTTGTCTAAGTGAACATCAATCAGCTTTTTTTTTGGTGGAGATCGGTGTTCAAATTGAAATCGAAATATAGCATTCCAGACTTTTATTTGATAAAATTCATAAGATGTTTGCTTTGAAATTTATGGGCAGAGGCCTTCTTGTGCTCGGGGAAAAAGACATTGAGATTGGAAAATCTGAGATCACCATAGAGGACCATTACAATTTGAAAACAATTAAAAGAAAACAATTCGATTACTGGGAATAACGATGAAAGAGTTACTTTGGGCCGAGGCTACTTGATTTTGGAAATGGTGGTTATAATTTAAAAAAAGTAAAGTTATATCTTTGCATTTAAAGAAGGAACCATGAATGCGAAGATAAGAGGTTTCCAAAGGATCAGCCTACACTCAACAAGTAGGATCGAAGTACAAGACACTTACCATTTGAAACTCTCAGCCTTCTGCCAACATATTATCCACCGTTTGTTTTGCTTCTGCCCAGGTCATGTTGAAATTGTCCATGTATTCTTTGTACAATCGTCCGCGCATTGATATGTCTTCCATTTCAGATTTCTTATTATGACTTTCTAGCTCTTTCTCGATTCTGTCTAATTCAAGTTGCTCTCTACGACACTTAAGGTCTTTTGTTTCATCCAGGTTTTTTTCTTTGAAATCGATCTCCGCTTGATGGAAATTCAATGTTTCCCTTTTGAGTTGAAGCTCCTGAATCAATTGCGCATGCTGATCGACTTGCGGAGTGATAGATTTCGTAATTGCATTGGCAAGTTTGTTTGATGAGATGACTTTGGCCTGTCTTGCTTCTTGCTCAGCTAGCATGTGACTTTTCTTAAACTCCCATTCAGCCTCGCGTTCCTCTCTTGATGGCAAGTGACTACTTAAAATAGAAGAAGCAGGGCCCGAATTGACTCGAGCAGATCTGTTTTTTCCACTTTTGGAGGATTCTGAAGACTCGATAGCTGAACTTTTCCGAGGGCAAGCTTGACGAACTTTAGAATTTGTCGAACAAGATGAACTACCTGGTTGGTTGACGTCAGAAATCGAAGTTTTTTCAGCGATGTCTTTCAATTGTTGATTCTGACTATCATTTTCTTCTAGCTCTTCAAACTGTGGGCTTTCAATCGCATTGATGATTCGACTAAGAAATGGATCATCTGGATCACCGCCGTGTTCACTTCGGATAGCTGGATTGGTCTCAGTTTGACTATCTTGGTCTTCAATCAAATCTTGTGAATCATTCTTATTAGGTAAGATGTTATCTAAGACAATCGAAGTGTTAGACTCCAGCACATCGTCAGGCGAATTCGCCTTTCGGCGTCCGAATGCTGCAACCATGTCTTCATAATATAGACATTTCTTTTTAAGAATGGCTATAATCAATCGGACAACAATTAGATGTATATTTGAAAGCACACAAACCAAATACAAACACTGACCTTCAAATGTATCCTCAACCAAAGAAAGTCGCTCCTTCCATGCCTCGCTATCAGAAGCGTACCCATTTGCCTCCTTCTCAGCAAGTGCATCATCCATTAGCTTCTGTTTCGCGCCTTCCCCAGTTCCTTTGCGGTAGTCTTGTGCCTCGCGAAAACTTCTCTCAAGTTCTCGGATCTAAGAAAAACAAGAATCAACTTGTGTATACATATGTTCAAGCAGTAGATCAACATACTTGTTGTTTGACTGAGGTAGATTTTATATTCGGAAAGCCATTCTCAGCTAGGTAATCAGAGACATCCTGAGCTACTTTGGCCTTCTTTATTGTTCCTCCATCAGTTCTCCACCAATCCAGACGAAAGCCATCTCCTTTGGGAGTTGATAGACATTCCACTAAGAGCCACAAAGGGGTCTTTCCATCTTTGTTGACGTCTACACGCCACTGGGTTCGAGGACGGGCAGGCGACGATGGCTGCTTGGTCTTGGCCTTGGGCTTGGGATCACCCTTCTTTTGTTTTTTTTTCTTCGGATCCGGATCGTTTTGAGTTAGTTGAGGGTGTTGAGTTCCTTGAAAAGCCAAAGTTTGAATCGCTGGTTGGTAAGGTGTTGCAGGCATGCTTCCCCAAATATGAGCGTTGATACTTGGCGAGATATGTGGATTGAGAACTGGCGAGATGTGTTGGTTGATGGTTGGTGAGACCAAGGTATAAGGATAGGGAGGAATTGATGGGACTTGTCCGGCAATTGACGAGTCTGATGGAGTGTGAGATAGATGGTGGGAAGAGGGTAGATCAGCCATGTGAATTGAGTGGATGAGGGGACGTTAGGTGGAGACGGGCTTCCTGTTGCATAGAGACATACAAAGTTTTTGAATTGAATTTGGGTCCATTTGGAACTATGATTTTCCAAGTTTGAACTTGGGGTGTCCCAGAAGTTCCTGGATGTCACTTCTGGGAACTTCTGGGACGAGTTTCTGGAGTTTTGAATACCCCTATTGTACTAGACAATCAGGAGATGACACACCAGAAAATAGTGTGGATGTGATATTTAATTCACCTGTCTCACGTCAAAAGCCTGTTATGAGATCTTCATCTCCATCGGAAGAATTTGTAGACTTGGTGCAGACCAAGGTTCAAGAAGCTGGAATAGATGGGATTAAACCTTTGGACTTGGTGGTTAGTCTTTCTATTTTTCAAACGTAATACAACATTGATAAGAAAATGATAGATGGTTTGATTGTTTTTCAACATAATAATTTATTGAATTGCATGAATTGTGAAGAAGTTGGTGAAACAGTTGAAAATATGATGAAGACTGAACCACCTAAATTATATTGGGTAAATGAAAATGAAAGTCAAAACATCATCATTTCATCTGATCATTTAATTAATTGAGGTGAAAAAACTAAACCTGAGAAAAATTACGCAAATTTCTGTATAATCATCATTCAAACAGATTGGCATTTCATTCGAAGAAGTTGAGGGCAAATCTGATGATCCAATTCATACGTATGTGAAGATGGAAATCTTTTTCTTCCATTTCTGAAAATTTACCTTTTGCATCTTGATCTCATATGTTTTTTATTTCTATGCTTTGTTGAACCAGAACTTATATTGATGCGGAAATGAGAAAAAGACTTTGGGAAGAGTATGGTGTGAAAGGTTATCAAATCAGACAGGTTTGGAATGTGTTTTCCCTTCTTTTGGAATGAAACACACAAATCTTTAATATCCAGTCTTTTGATTTTCTTTTTTGAATCTATACAGACCTGGGGAAGCAATTTTTGTTCCGGCTTATACAACACATCAAGTCTGTAATTTAGCCAATTGCATTAAAGTGGCAGGTAAGGCACTTTTGGGACATTTTCAATTACATCTTTTGGAGTTTTTTTGTTGTTTCTGTGACTTAATATGTCTTGTCATTTGTTGGGGGTTTGGTTTAGTGGATTTTGTTTCACCAACTTCAATTGAAAGGTGTAACAAGCTTAGAGGTGAATTTAGAACTCAACTACATGAACAGCCAAAGCCTCTGGAGGGAGGACGTTTTACAGATTGAACAAATGCTTCTTTAGTAAATCTGAAGTTTTCTTTTTCTTTTATATTTCAGTGACCTTCTTTTGATACAAAAAAAATCATGGCGTCTTTTTGGTTGTTTTTTTGGGAATAATGAAGTGTATTTGATTCTTTATGTAGAAATATTGAGGCACTTGAGATGTAATTTTTCTTTTAAAAAAATTCAAAAGTATATTGGACAGTATGATAAAACTGGATGGACTTTCTTGGAGTTTTGGTGTCATTTGTGGACTGAGTTTTGTCAAATAAAATAGCAACCTTGCATGTATGTAATGTTGCATGCACTTAGGTATGAAGATAAAGTCCAAAGCTCAAATAAAACTAGTGATTTGCTGTGCCAAGCTGTGAAACTCATTTGGTCAGTGGATACAAATGTGTGACTCTGTCAGCCCTGAGTACATACACATGTACCCAACACTAACTTGTAACATTAAAAAATGTATAAAATTAATTACATGTTACATACTGAGCTTAGACTGTATGTAACATGTAATACAATGTACAAAATAGGGCTGTGACCTGGCCCTGGACTTTCAGGGCCGGCCCCGGGGCAAGCGCCTCCAGAAAGTGCTCAGGGCCAACCAGGGCACACCCTGACCTTATTACACTACAAGAAACATAACATTTTCTGGGCAAAAAATTAAATTATTTGTATACAAAAATCTGGAAAGGTCAGAAACAGAGCAAAAAATGTGAAAAAATATGCATCCTGTTCCTTGGTATGAGATCTCCAATCTGCATATTTTTCCGTATTTTTGGGGTTCATATTGGTGAGTGTACTAACAATAAACCCTCATAATCACCAGATTACCACCTGTAACAGATGCTGGAATTTGGCTGATCAATGCTGAGAGAAAGTTTTGATTACTATA